AGTAAAAATATGAAACAGTACAGAAATAGAAGAATATATAACGAGAACAAAAAAGGAAACGGTAAAGTTGAAAATAAACGGAAACAATAAAGAAGTAGAATCAACAGAAGCAGGATATAATATACAATTAAATAACTGAAACGGCATAAAATTAGACGGAACTGCGTGTACGGTTAAGATACTAGAGCTTATTTTCAACTAAAGTTATTCAAATGAGTAACATCCAACTGTTTCTCAGAATAAGTGTTTCTCAAGTTCGAAGAATAAAATTTCAGTTTCAAGGATCATAGGTTTTGGTTTAGTGCTTAGAAATAAAACGATAAAATAAGAAACATACCGAGGAACTGAAAATAGAAAACGTGACATCTAACACATGATTATACTGATCAAAGGAGGAGCACATCAACTTAAAACACTTCATAATATCTCTTAATAGAACGTCCTACGAGGTAACGTAAAAACGTTGTAGTTAATACAGCCAAACAAACCGTTAAAAGCTGTACTTGTTAAAACCAAAGGGTCTGAACAATAGAAACAAACTGATATTTCTAAATATAGATCTTAACTTGGAATTCTAAACATGATTTTGAAAATGTGCCTTAAAAACTTAAAAAACAATCTAATTTATTTTCCTCAGTTAAGTGGTAGTGGTTGGTTAAGTGAAAGAGCTCTGGATTTTAGAGCAGACAATATGGGTTCGAAACCATGCGATGTCATAAAATATTCCCTGTACTTTCAATTGTAGGTTAGTTATAAAAATGACGGTTAATATTTTAGAATAAATGGTGTATGATAGATCGTTTTGACATGCGCGGTAACAAACAAAAAACATGACTAAGTAAAGAACGAATAATCGGTGTTGTAAAAATAGTAAATGTTCTGCCATTGGCTTAAATATATGAAACTCTTTCACGTGACCAAGTTAATAACGTGCATTATCAAGGCTTCTCGGTGAATATAAATTCACCTACATCTCAGTGACTTCGGCAAAATCTGCAGACTACCGAACTTCTGCACGAGCTGACTCCAAACTCCTGAAAAATGAAAGGTCTTGCTGCTGTATTGTTTCTGGCTGTGATTATCTCTAGTTCTGGCCATCCTGAGGAGAAGATGTTCGAGTTGTTATGTGGTAATTGCTTTGTCAGTTTTTCAGAAACTCATAAATTGTATAAAAACTTGCTTGCAAAATGTACCTCAATATTCAGCTAACAGAATTTAAAGTTTTTCCTAGTTTCTGTGTAAGATTTAAGTGGCTTAAGTTTTAATATCTGAACATTAATTTACTTAAGCCTAAAATATGTACAATAATTAACTTAAGCCTAATACATGTACAATAATTTACTTAAGCCTAATACATGTACAATAATTTACTTAAGCCTAAAACATGTACAATAATTTACTTAAGCCTAATACATGTACAATAATTTACTTAAGCCTAATACATGTACAATAATTTACTTAAGCCTAATATATGTACAATAATTTACTTGAGCCTAATACATGTACAGTAATTTACTTAAGCCTAATACATGTACAGTAATTTACTTAAGCCTAATATATGTACAATAATTTACTTAAGCCTTCACCAACATTTTTGTTCTTTATACAAGGAAAATAACAAACACTATAATGGTACGTTTACATACTTACAACGCTAAAATCCGGGATTCAAGTCCCCACAGTAAAAACAAACAATTAAAGTAATTCATGTGTTATCAAATTCATCTTCTGCTTCTACAACTATAGTAATAGTTAATAAAATAGTTACCATGGAACTAGAATGAAGTGTTGAAGTTATGTTTTTTAACTTTATCCAACCATCTATGAACCAAGATGACACGTTTATTCCTTACTTTATAGGAAATGATATTTTTTTGTTCTACAGAAATGTCAGGTTTGGCTTTCAATCCAGTTTAATATAAATTTGTTGTTTATTTTATTTCATAGAGAGTAAAGAAGATATAGCCATCAAAGACATCAAACACTGTATGGACCTGGAACCCCCAGAAGTGAGTTTTGGGTTCGATATGTATGACTACAGATTTTTCCTTAATTTGTGGTTCAAGAGCTGTATTTCAGTATCTGTTGATAATACACCACACAATTAGAGCACTGACGGATACACTTTGTGATTAGGTTCATACACGTTTCATCAAAAGTGGCATATAAAGATCAGTGTGTTTACAGATATAAAGTTCAAACTTACCTCCTCCCACTTCCCACACAGAGCTTGATCAGTTACAGCTTGATGGGTAGCCCTACAGTTGGCAAACTTCTTTTTATACTGACAAAAACAACAACATTAGTTTCAAAACAATTATAATATAAACTCACCACAATAGATTGTGGAATGTTAATATTAGGAAGTTTCATACAAATACACAATACAATTTATCATGTTTTCAACTGTATGACCAATCATTCTAGAGATAACGACGTTTAAATACGGGTTTGGAGCTTAATATATTATTCTCTGTCATGAGTTGGAGAATTTTTCTTGCTCCCTAGTTAATTTTTCCCAAAGAAAAGAAAATATGAGTTCTTTTCTTATTACTTAGAGAATAAAACTGATCTTAGAACTTTCTGGATATCAAAAGATCTAATGTTTTATGAAAGAGGAAAGGAATATTGTGAGACTGTTTGGAAACTGGCGAAACTAAAAGTACTTTCTACTCATCCGAAGAATCTCTGAGGAAATAAAAGGTTAGGAAGGTTAACTGTTTAGATTTTTGTGGAATCAATCATTTAATACAATCAGCAGATATACTCAATTGAATGTTAATGACTTAGTTAACAAAAGACATGTTACAAGTAAATATATGAAATACTGACATCAAAATGTGATTATTTAATTTTTTAAAGTTTTCTAGATTAGAGGGTTGAGCATGTTACATTAGAACGATTCTGAGTAAACAAAAACGCAAATTATGTGTAAACCACATCCAAAATAAAGCTATGATGGAACGGAATGTATCAGAACTATATATCCTGTTGTTTGACATTTCGTAAGAAGTGTGATAAAACCAAAAATTAATCACTTTTGTGACGGGTATGCAACAGCTTCTTCCGACTGAATATTTCATCCACACAGATGTACTTAGTTTGGGGATTTAGAATTCTCAAAACGGGAATATATCTTGTAATTAATGACATTAGAAAATAAAGGAATATGGATCAACTTGGGACACCAGGACCGTCAAGAATAAGGTCTGTAGTAAAATATACCCCTAGCCATGATTGCAAAGTGTGAGGTATTGTAACACGCTAGAATCCATGAACAGTGGAAAAAGTCGTCAACATACCCCATGCAACAGTAGGATCTCCCTCTGAAAGCGAGGCAATAGAGTGTGTGGCTCATCAAGTTAAGAGTTCCAGTCGTATTTCCCATTAAACCGTCGCATATCTAAAACAGCTGGAGAATGAAACGGGTATTCAAGCTATTTCATATAAAGACATATCAGTCAAATCTCCAGATGCACTCGATATGGACTTCTGTGCGATCACACTGTTAAAAGAGGAGTTGTAAAACTGTCACCTTCATACACTAGATGGATTATCGACAGTATCAGGTAAGAGTGATACGTTTTGGACGTAACAGTCTTACAGTGGAGCCTTTTGAGCCATTGTTATGATGCGCGGTCGTAAGCTAAAGCATGACAAGACGACATCATGACAGAGACTGTACAGACTTTGAGAAACTACAAAAGTATTTGATATAAAGTTCTGAAACTCTGTTCAAGCCTGTTTCTCCTTGGCTATGTAAACTCTATAATGTTCTTAACAAAACGACTTATAAAGTTATCATGAAGAACTACTTAATTAATGTTTCTATTTATGAAGTTATGCTGTTATATGACTTTAAAGTACCTAATCGTTATATCTTTATTACAGGTCTACCAATGTGCCCATCCAGATTATGTAAGTACCACCTTTATTAAAGTAACACAGTCCGAATAAAAAACCTCGTTTATATTTGTTTGAAGTAAACAGTTTTACACTGAAATCAAATCTTACGTTTCGTTCTATAGTATATAAAGTTACTGTTTGTATAACCCTTATTGCCTTAATTAAACTTTCTAAACAAAATAATATTTATAAGTTAGGTATTTATATTTAAAGTAGTGTTAGCAAATTACAACATAAGCTATGTTTCTGTTTCTCGTAAACGACTATTATGAGATAAGTTTATAATTTTAAACAAATTATTTGTATGAGACTTACATGGACGTCTTCGTATTCACTCGTGTCGTGATCCTAAAGTATTTAAACAATCAGTTAGTTTCCCTAGTGGCAACATTGGAAAGTAACAAATAGCAGACTCAGTTAGCAACATTAGTATGGTAAAAATGTAAGAATATAATTAATATATGGGTGAGTGTAAATAAAGACTATCTAATAATCCTTGGGTTTTTCAAGCTAATAATATCTTATATCGCTAACTTTATTCCATAAATATTTTGTAAGTTCAAAGAGTAAAAGTGACACCTAGTGATGGCTTATTTCACGCAATCCTAGCTAAGGTATAAGAAAATAATCCGGATTAATGGCTTTAATTATTTGTTAAAAAGAAACAAGTTCACACATACGTGGGTTGTAACACTGTACGACTTTAGAACTAGAAGGTGTTACAACATATTTTGAGAGGATTATTTAAATATTTTTAATATATATATAAAATAATGTATGTTTGAAAACTGACAATATACATATTGAAGTTACCTACTCAGGAAGATGGGGTTTGAAAATTTGACTTTAAGTTATCGCTGCGAGTTTCTTTTATAATAAGGGGTAAACATTTTCACAATATAAATTATTCAAGGGTTAACAAATTTAGAGTTAGAATATTTAACAGTAAAGAGACCCCTTGTTAAATATAGAAGTATTTACCACAGGTTGATGTTTAGTTACGTCCAATTAAGTAAAACATCGTTCCCTATAATTAATTGTGATGTATTATTTAAATTAAATAAATATATATTTAGCAAGCTTTGCCTGGTTCAAAAAATCCCACTTACAGTGAAGCTAACGATTATATGCTTGGTCATGAGTCCTTCAGTCAGAAATATTTAGTTAAAAATTTAAAGTACTTTTAAAAGTAGATATCTACCGAAAGAGGGCGCTACCTTGATTTATTGTAGTTCGTAATTAAAAAAGGTTATATATATATTTAGTTTGAGATGTGAAAAAGTATTACTTTTCCGGCTATAAGGAAACATTAGTTTATTTGTAGTAACTGTAATTTATATTTAAAATTACCTTAAACAGAGAACAATAAATTTACAGAACACAGTTATTTCTGATGCAAGAAAGTTGCATTGCAGCATTTTTAAGTGAATTCCAAGATAAGTTTCCTAATTCAACGTACTTTAGTCTACTTTATCACTTATAATAAAACTAACTGAAATAAAGTCATATTGGGAAATAATTTATATAATTATTAACAATGACTTGACTTTTATTTTTCTGGAATTTTCAATTATACGTGCAAATGTACTAAAATATAAAATATTTAAAGTTTCGTAGTAATAAGTAAGTTACACATTAATCGTTTTTTCTCACGTTTTACTCCTTTTAGAAATGCATTATCAAAGCACACAAGGAATGGTTGGAAAGGAAAGGAATAGATGACTGAACATCGTCAATCAACGTTTTTTAATTTTTTTTCTTTTTGTATTTTAATCTTCTATACGACTGAAATAAAACTGTTTTTAATTGAATTTTATTCTTCGTATGTGCCATTGTGATTATTTTCTAAATTATTTTTATTTAGATAAAAAATGGGTGCGAGAAACCATTAACTGACAAAAAATGCTATTAAATTAAAGATGAAAAATATCTAGTGAACGATTACGATAATTTAGATAACTGTTTAATTTAGATGATATTTTCCCGATCCAAGTAATTTGAAGTTTCAATAAAAGATGGCAGCACCTTCTGTTAGGTACAAAGAACTCATAAATCTGAAAATTGTAATGAGTTTTATGGTTACAAAAAAAAAACACGATCAAATTAAGTCCATATTTCTGTAACCACAATATTAACCCAAGAAAGAGTCTCAACATATAATAAACTAACTAGAACTATAGAAAACTATGGTTCCATAATGCGTTAAATTTTAATACATGTTAAAATCAGTAAACATTCTCCCAAATATATTTATAGACATTCCATTTTCTTTATTTCTTATATTTATTTTTTCACATTTACAAAATCTGTCGGCAAATATTGATATATCAATATACTTTAAATAATGTTTCATATTATTTCTGTTTTTTTTAGTTTACCAAGTGATCCCATAATCACATCTTAATGTCAAATTAAATCAAAAATTTAGTAAGAAAATAAAATACATTTTTATCTAAAAATGGAAATTGAAACAACTATGCTTACGTTCGAAGTATTTCCACCAAATTTTTCCTTACAATAATGATATGATAAGAAGCTATGAGTACAAGCAATTAATAATATTTTTGTGATATATTTTCACATCTAACTTCAGTTTAAAATTTATAAGTTGTAATAAAAACTTAGTTTTTTTCTGAATAGATAGTTCTCTAACTAGCTTACAAGGTATTTTGGTTTTAAAATCTAAAAAGCTCAGAAAGAGCTTGAGAGACAACAAGGGGCACTCAGAAACCATTGCTTCTATTCGTCCTGCTGCGAAATATGGGTTTAGTTGTAAATGTGGATAGTTGAAAGCCGAAAGGGCTTAAAAAGAATTAAGGTATTTGGAACTTGCCTGTTACGAGTTTAGGAATAACCTAGGGGTAGTTTTTGTTTATACATGAAAATTTTGGTAGTACGACATCTTCTGCCAGACCTCAGGAATTCAGTACCCTTAAATAGAATTTAAATTATTTAAGAATGATGACCGTTGACCCATCGGACGACCAGTATGTTATTGAGCAAGTTAATTAATCAGATTACGACTGTGAATTACACGTAAAATTTTTATTCTGTAATGGACACTTTCTCGCACGAAGACCCAATGTAAAACGTGTTTAGCAAT